GCAATGAGGATACAAATAAACTCACCTCAGAAATCATTTGTCATTAGCATAATGTAAGTTAATCATTACAAATATATTATTTCCCTGGCAAATGTTGCCCATACTTGTTTCTGCCACAGTTCTACTTAGTCTAGACTCATTTCCCTATTTCACAGATCAAGTTAAAAAGGTGACAGAGGGCCTCCCTGGTAGTACAAGGGGTTAAATCTCAGCACTATGAAGCTCTGGCACAGCCAATGCAGCATGAGTTTGATCCCCAGCCAGGGAGCTACCCACATATAGTGCAGTAGACCTCTCCTGTCTCGCCTGCTTCTCCCCTCAGCAGTGTATTTCAGTCAGTCTGCCTGTTCTGTTCCCCACTGTCTCTGGTGAATCCTCTCACCACACCCCATGCCTGTGGCCTGTACCCCAGTTCCTGTATGCATACATAAATAAATAAATCTTAAAAAAAAAGAATACCAGTCTTTTGTGATTTATTGAGATGTTTTCATGGACCAACAGGATCAGTTTTATAAATGTTATTTACATTATTTAGTAGAATTTTTTTAATGTCTAGTTGCAGAAATCTATGTATGTCCACAATATTGCAAATGCAAATATTGTTCAAACATTTTGTACTTACCTTTATTATCAGCTTGATCTAAATATTGCTAATTGAGGTCTGTAAAATCTACCTTTTTAATAATATCAACTTTATAATTATGTATGATTATGTTTTATTTTGAGGCTCTGCTATTGGGTATCTAGGGACTGGGGACTATTATCCCATTGTGGTGGGTGATTTTATCACTATATAGTGACTCCTCCCAATATTACTTTCACTTTAAAGCCTATTTTGTATAATATTACATCAGTTTTTTCCATTTTTCTATCCCTGATACATCCCTGCCCATTTCTTATTTTAAACCTCTCTGTTTAATACCTTAGGAATTTTTTATAACTGGGATATGCTAGGATATATTTTAATTGAGAATTCTTGTCTTTTAACTAGTAAGTTTAATTCCATTCATTGTAAATTATGATAAATTTGAAAGTGAATTTACCATTCAGTTTTGCATTTTCTATTTTCCATGTGTCTTTGCTTTATTTCTTCTACTAGACTGATGTTTTCCTTATTTCTTTTTACCACCCTGCAGGTTTTGCAGTAATACACAATACCTTTTCTTTAATGTTTGGCAATAAATTCTTATCTTAACAGAATGTGAAGCTAACTAGTATCTCTGCTCTCTTCTCACGGCCAGGAGTACATTAGAGTGGCTTAACACAGCTGCCACTTGCTCTTCTTTCACATTTGTATATAGAATTTGAGTTGACCTCAGTTAATCATCATCATTAATATTATTATTTTATAGACAATGCTCATTGAAAATTACTTGTGTGTCCTAATTTCTTTGCTCACAATTGCATTTTATATTCTACTTTTTCCTTTCTCTTTGATTTCATTAACATGCATTCCTAGAGTGTGTTATTTCATAACTGTAAAGTCACTCTTTTGCCCCTTAGTATCATGTTTTCCTGTTTCATTTATAAACTCATGATTTCCTGTTTTATTTAAGGAGTTGCAGTCTTTTTCTGGTATTATTTAACACTCAAGTTGTCCATCATTTAGCAGTGGAACCCCTTTCAAACTGATTTCTCTGTTCTTTTGTTATGGCTGCCTCACTCTGAGCATTTCCTTGCTTTGAACAATATGTCTCAGTATCACCCTGTCTTTTCCTTGTTCCAGACTTGGAATCAACCAATTTCTCAAGAAACACTAGTTCCTTTTAGTAGAGAAAAGTATTTGGAAGATGCTAAATGAAATCATTTCTTTTTTTTTTAACTTTTTTTTTTTTTTAAAGATTTATTTATTTATTTATACAGTCAGAAGCATGGGAGGGTGACAGAATTCACCAGAGCCAGAGCGGGGAACAGAACAGGCAGACTGATGAAATACACTGCTGGGGGGAGCAGCAGGCATGGCAGGAGAGGTCTGCATGCCATGTGGGACCCTCGCTGCCAGCAGCTGGGGATCAAACTGGTGCTGTAGAGGCTGTGGGCAGCTTCGTAGCCCAGTGCTCAACTGCTGCGCCAATGGGGAGGCCCTAAATGAGCTCATTTCTATTGGACTCTTACTGCTCTTAGACTCTCAGTGAACAGACATAAAAGGCATGTGTATGTTTATTTACATCTATTTATTTCATTTATTTAAAAAAAAACCCTCTAATAATAATATCGCTCCAGCACCACAGAGATCATTCTGATTTTCTTTCTTTCTGTATTTTCAGCTCCTTTTTCTGACAGTAAGAAGCCTGATTCTTGTTATCTTATTAATGCATCACTTTATTACTCTGTATAAATCAGGTTTCTGTCCATGATGCTGCTTATTCTCTTTGTGGGTATCATGCTCATCATTATATGATTACATACGCCCTGGTGGTACTGTTGCCCCCATGTTTGAATAACTTGCTCATCCACCTCTACTGCCTACTGTGTATGCTTATATTTTAGAGCACTAGCTCACCCCACCCCACCGGTACGTGCTGAATGTCCCTCAGTGTGCATGCCTGTCTTATACCCCTCGAACTCCAGCCCTATATCTGCTGCCATGACCAATAAATGCCCTCCTTCCCTAGTCCAGCCTTGGAGTCTCCTATGCCAGTTCATCCTTACCCAACATCCCACCCAAGCATCGCCACCCTCCTTGTGCTCTAGCCCTCTACACTGCATCTTCTTTCCATGTAAACATCCTTCTTATTCTGCATACACTTTGACCTCCAAACCAGGGGTCAAACTTCCTTCAACCCCCTTAACCCTCTTTGCCTTATAATATACCTGACTGAAGTGCCTCATCAGGTGAATTCCTTCCCTTCCTTGATCAGGCTCCAGCACTCAATACATAGTCTATTATTTTCTTGGGTGTTTTGTAATTTTTGACAGTGAGTTTCTTTGCCGCTGGGATTATTTGTTTCTATGGAAATCCTATGTGATTTTGGTCATGCAAATGACTTCTAGAATGCTTTTTAATAAAAAGATAATGTTGTTAAAATATAATTGATATGCAATTTATTCATATGCATACATATGTATGTTGAAAGTGTATAGTTTGATAAGTTTTGACACAATGTATAAACTCATAAAACCCATCACCACAGTTCAAATAATAAACATGTCTACCATCCTTAATCATCTAACTTCTCCCTGCCTCTGCTTCCTGTTCACAGGACGGTTATTATAAATTAGAATTTTATAGAATTTTACAAAACTGAAATAAAGTATATATTCTTTTTAGTTACCCTTTTCACCTGACACAATTAATTTTAGATTTATTCATGTTATGTGGCTCAATAGTTTATTTTTTATTGCTGAATATAACCCATTGTGTGGGTTACTACACCAGAATGTGTTTATCCAGTCACCTATGATGGACACTTGAATGTTTATAGTTTTTGATTATGTCAAATAAAATTGCACAATAAAAATCTTTGGATAAATACATTATTTTCTCTTGGGTAAGACTTAGGAATGGATTCACTGGATCTTGTTGTAAGTGTATGTTTGACTTCATAAAAAACTGCAAAACTATTTTCCATTATGTATTTCCACCAGCAATGTGTAAGCTTCAGTTACTCTGTAATCTTCCTAACACTGTGTGTGGTCTTTTATTTAATCTGAGATATTTTAATAAGCATGTAGTGTTTTTGACAGACTTCTACAGAGTATCATGGACCTCAAAACAGTAATTTAAATAGATTTCCTGACATGGAAATTCTAGTATTATATATAATGATAGTTTTATTTCAAACTCTTTTGTGTCTCATATTTGGTGTATTTTTCTTGAGAGATTTAGAAATATACTCCCTTATCTCCCTGTAGTAGTATTGGAGGGATTTTTATTGATGTTTCCCTTTCCTTGAGCAAGACAACACCATGGAGGGTTTTGCTTGCCATGCCTCTGTAGAGACTAACAATTTTAAATCCCCAGCTAAGGTTTTTGTTCTTCTAATTTTCTCAAGGGCAGTATAGGAGGTAAGCTTGGTGTTTCCCCATTCTCCTATATTTAACATTTTCAATGAGATTAAATATAAACTGAAAAGTCACAGAGAAAACATTAAATTTGTCTAAGGATTTAAAGCACTCTTCATCCTCAAGTTATCTGTATTTCAGGAAGGAACACTATTTCAAGAGAATATTAAATGCAGTGGTTCACAAATGTAATGCTCATATTATGAGTTATATTTTAGACCATTTTGGGTGGTACACGGGCAAACATTTTTTTTGATAATTATGTATTCATCCTAACCCTTGTAACTAACACATGAAGGTAGGGATTTTATGAAAAGTACTGCTTAGGAATATACTAAATACAATGACTTTCATATATGAGTCATTGACAACTAGAAACTATTGTTATTTTGGAAAAGATTTACTTTTTAGCAGTAATGTCCAGATATTTGTTACCTAGATGAGGTGACATATCTAGGAAGAGAGTCTTTGAAGCTGTCTTCAAATTACAGCTTCATTTTTCTGTATAACAGAAAATCACTCTATATACACAGTATGACATTTTATAGGTTAGTTTTCATATTCTACCATGAGTCAGAATCACCTATAGTAAAAACTGAGTATGAGATGAACAGGCTATTCTTATCCTCCTTGCCAACATCTGTAATCAAATATGATAAAAGATAGAATTAGACAAAAGTGGTCACCTTAATGTAATATATACAGATGTTTATTAATAATGCTATGCACCTGAATCCTGGCTAATGCTATGAACTATTACTTCAAAAAAATTTTAAAGGAAAATAATAGAAATGTCATTGTTCTCTGATCAATTAACTGGGCAAGGTAATTTCTATGCTTGATGACTGCCTTCTCTAACTGTGGAAGTGCCTTTCCCTATATCTCTGAAAGAACAGGTCATTAAAGTTTGTGTTATAATAAATCCATTTTGATACATGATCAGTTCTTCCTGATTTAAGAATGATGGTTGTATATATACTTTTTCCTGTGTCTAGGATTCTCTCAACATGAGGTCCTCCCTGCAGGCAGTGGTGCTCTGGGGAAAGCAGGCCCCTCAGCACAGTATCACTGCCATCATGATCACTGATGACCAGCAGACAATTGTGACTGGAAGTCAGGAGGGTCAGCTCTGTCTTTGGAATCTCTCACCTGAACTAAAGGTTAGTATAATTATTAATACTGAAACAGACAACATTCAAACACAGCTTGCTTCTTCCTGGGGTGACAGTTGATCTTTTGCATGTTTATTAAGAAGGTGTTTTTTGAAGTAATGAATTGGTTTTCCTATTGGATTTGGAGACAATGAAGTATCATATGATGGATCAAGGTCTACTGGGATATTATATCACAAATATTTCTAATCTTTGTCACCAGCTAAGTGTTACCCCCTATTAAGCGGTGCTGAGTTTTACTATTTATATCCTGAATTATATGTTTAAGTAACTAAACTACAGACATGTAAGTTTAATTCTAAAAATTATGGCTCATTAATCTAAACAAAGAGTACTCTTGAAAACCGCTATTAACTAATGAGTAATAACTTAATTATCTGGGTTTTTCTGTTGGTTTGGCCTTCTTACTATTCTTTTGATCTTTGCTTGCCAGTGATTTTTACAGATCACATCAAAAAGCTCTAAATCCAATTTACTATTGTCGTCTTCCTATATCAGAACCTGACCTCACCTAGGATTTGGCCCATTGATTAGCAATTAATTGTCCCCGTCCCAAGTCATAAACATTTAACATATTGGAATAGATATTTTCTTAGCTCAAGCAGCCTCTAGACCCAATTTGAACATTTAAACTAATGATGTACTTAAAGTATACTGCCCTCATTAAGAAGCCTTTTAAAGATCAAAGACTATTTTTAGCCTTTAAAGTTTGTCACTTTGAAACCTAAATTAACAATTAATTGTAATTCTATTTTATAGTATAATTAATTAACATCTCCCATCACTGAAGAGTTACACTACAGGGTTGCCAAGAACTGCGTAACAGACCAGCTCAGCTCACTGTTTATGAACACTCCTGAAAGGAGCAACTGATATTTTTACAACACTTGAACTTTGACAATTCATCCTTTCATTTATTACCTCTCATAGTTTAAATGCAGGCTCCTATATGGTTTTAAATATATTGCCTCTCTCACTCATATGGAAACATAATGCCTTTTTTTTTTTAATCTTCTTTTTTAAAGATTTATTTATTTATTTATACAAGCACTGGGTACAGTCAGAAGCACGGGAGGGAGAGAGAATTCACCAGAGCCAGAGCAGGGAGCAGAGCAGGCAGAAGGACCAAAGTACACTGCTGAGGGGAGCAGTGGGCGGCAGGAGAGGTCTGCGTGCCATGTGGGACCCTCCTCCGGTGGCCGGGGAGGAGCCAGGGATCGAACAGGTGCTGCAGAGGCTGTGGGCAGCTTCACAACCCAGCACTCAACCTCTGTGCCACCGGGGAGGCCCATAATGCCTTTTAATTGGAGTAGTTGCAATGGGCACAATTTTATAAGCTTAAAGAACTTAGAATACTGTATCTTTTTATATGTTTGCCTCATATTTATTCAACACACATTTATTGAGTGCATTTTATAAGTTAGGCCATGTGTTAGGTATCTGAGTTCAAACATGAATGAGAAGCTCTGGTGCTGATGCCCCAAGGGTGGCACTGTAGTCTAGGGAGGACATAAGTAATAGGGGTGCAGCTATGTTATAATACAAGGCACTCTCGGTGCAAAGTGTTCTGCACTGCACCTTCTGTGGGAGAAGTTCTGCTGTGTTTTCATAGGGGAAAGTCTTTTGCTTGGAGTTAGAGCAGTGGTTCTTATTGAGAGTGTTTGTAACCCCTTCCCGCACCACCACCACAGACATTTAGTAATGTTGGCAGACATTTTTGGTTGTTACACCTGGAGGAAGGGACATGGAGTAGCTAGTGGCCAGGAATATACAGAATCATGCCATCAGAAATGCCTATAGTGCTGATGCTGAGAAAACCATGCTTAGAAACATAAGGTAGGAATGAAAATGGGTTCAAGAGGGATGGACAAGGATGGACAAGGATTAGTTAGACTGACTTTGTTTTGGAAATTCACTGTGAAGATGTTTTTGAAACGCTAATAACAGAATTACAACATTGGTTAGTATGAATATGATACTCCATGTGAGAATTTTCCTTAAAGTTTTCTGTGGCTAACTATACAACCAGAAGGAGTGAATACCTCTTATTTGTTCTACAAATCTCAGCCTTAAAGACCACCGATTAACTATTATTAGCAGGGCTGTCTCTATACTTTTCAAATCTCAAGGTATTTTTGAGCCCCCAACAAATCCTATTGTTATCTGCAAGATAGTCAAGTGAACAGTTTGTCACTGATATTTAAATGTTTAGTGGGGGCCTCCCCGGTGGCGCAGCGGTTGAGCGCTGGGTTGCGAAGCTGCCCGCAGCCTCTGCAGCGCCGGTTCAATCCCCGGCTGCTCCCCGGCCACCAGAGGAGGGTCCCACATGGCGCGCAGACCTCTCCTGCCGCCCGCTGCTCCCCTCAGCAGTGTACTTCGGTCCTTCTGCCTGCTCTGCTCCCCACTCTGGCTCTGGTGAATTCTCTCACCCTCCCGTGCTTCTGACTGTACCCAGTGCTTGTATAAATAAATAAATAAATCTTAAAAAAAAAAAAGAAAGACATTTCTAATAAATAAATAAATAAATAAATAAATAAATAAATGTTTAGTGGTTTGATTTGATTTTTTTTTTAAATGCATAGCTAAAGGAATCATTCAGGAAAGGGAAAAATTCAGGAGGCCTTGAGGACATGGGTGATTGTAAGAGAGGATATTAACTGGGCTGAAGGGCAGCTTGAGGTCAGTGGGACTATGGCAGAAGACTGCAAGAAGGGGACATGGAAGCTACAGAGAGTGGGTCTATTTATTTCCTCCTTATACTAAATTTGTTTACCTAAATCCCCTTGGAAAAGGTTTAGGTAAGCAAAGACATTAGGTTCTATGGCCTTGAATACTCATTTAACACCATTAAAGTGACAAAAATTAACCTAAGGACACTTACTTATACTGTCATTAAACAAATTACACAGATACTTTTTGTTCTAGGCACATATTCCTCCTTAAAGTCTCTGAGTGTAAAAGGCAGACGTATAAATAGGAAATTGTAAAGCAGTGTGACACTTTCTGTCTCTATGAATTTGACTACTCTGTGGGTCTCGTGTAGATGGAATCACATGGCATTTGCTTTTCTAACTGGCTTATTTCACTTAGCATAATGTCCTCAAAGTTCATAAATATTAGATCATGAGTCATACATTCCCTCCATTTTATGGCTGAATAAGCTATTGTACATGTATGCTGCATTGTGTTTATCCATTTTTCTTCAATGGATACTTGGGTTGCTTCCACCTCTTGTATATTGTGAATGATGCTGCTGTGAATCTGGGCATATAAATATCTTTTGGAGCCCCTGCTTTCATGTGTTTTGGGTGTATGCCCAGGAATGAGATTTCTGAATCACATGCTAGTTTTATTTTAATGTGTATGAAAAACTTCCAGACTTTTTCTATGATAGGTGAACTATTTTACCAGCAGTATTAGGGTTCCAATTTCTCTACATCTTAATCAACACTATTTTGTCTCTCTGTTTTTATAATAGCTTAATTAGTGTGAAGTGGTATCTCATTGTGGTTTTGAAGAAAAAGGATTTCTGAGAGTGATGCTTCAGCTAATTTCTAAAGGATGCAAAGAACCTGAATAAGAAAGAAGGTGAAGCGATTAGACAGAGAATGGCAAATGTGTTTGACATGGATGGATATTTTGGACATTTTGCGTTCAGGGAAATGGTAACACTTAGAAACTTGGAATAGAGGTTAGTTACAGGTGGTAGGCACATCTGGAAAAGACAGAATAGATTCAACATACTCTGACATGTTTAAGGGGTTTAGATTTATTTTTTTAACTGTTAAGAGCCAACACTATATGCAAATTAAAAGTGGTGGTGATATGAAGGGATTTTGAGGATTTTTATGTGAGATGATGTAATACTATTTTATTATATTTTTATTTAGAATATCACATGGTATATTAATGTAAAGGGCATACTGAAGAGAGGGGGAAGTGAGATAAGGCACAGAGACTATGGGTAGGAGGCTTCTACAGTAATTAGTCAAGAAAGCATTTGAACTGAAGCAGAGAGGCAGCAGGGATGAAGAATAGAAGAACAAGAACACTGGAAAGATATTAAGAGAGAACAGACAGAACAACACAAACAATTGGATGCGAAAAAAAGAGTAGGGACAGTCAAGGATACTTTCCAGGTTTGAGGCTTGAGTGATGGGTGGGACTGGATGGGATGGTGATACCATAATTAAGGAACAGACAGGATTCAAGAATAGAGGGAAAGAACTGATTTTGGAATGTTCTAAACATTGTGGAGTATTCAAGTATTCACTAGAGGAATATGTACACATCTCAGTCTTTCCCTGGCCTTGAGTGGTAGGATGATAGGATGCAGAGGAACTGAAGAATAGGAACCTCCCTGTCCAGGACTTTTCATCATATAGTTAGATTTGCATGCCCCCAATTCCAGGCTCATGGCCTGACTCCTAAAACCCTCCTTTTCTCCCAGAACTTTGTGCATGAGATCTACCAACAAGGAACTCCTTGGAATCTCATGCTAGGAACTTCCTTACTTGGGTTTTCTGGTATTAATTGCTGTTATGCACCATGCCTTTAAACATAGAAAAAGGTGAATTGAAGAATCTCTTAGTATATTCCCTTAGTATTGCTATGCTCTATTTTTTCCCATTTAATACTCAGGAAACAAAACAATGACACATGAAGAATGGCACTGTTGTGTAGGAAGAAGAGTGGACATTATGGTCATATTCTAGCTCAGATTTTTACCAACTCTGTGTTTTGGGGCAAATAAATTATTGGATCCTTGGTTTCTTCACTTGTAAATGAGGATTAAACCCATTCACAGTTGCACATTTAAAGGGACCTTATGTGTTCTCTGTTTTGCAGTTTGATTTTTATTAACTTATTTTTACAAAACGATAAGGAATAGATTTACTTCACATATAAGGAAATAGAAGAATTAGCCCTCACGGCCATATTTTAAAATTTACATGAGAAAAAAATGGGCATTTTATATAAAAGTTCGGTAAATTTTCGTTTTGAATGTAAAGAAGTTAATTTTTACTATTTCTGAGGCACAAAGCCAAATAAAGTATTACAATGGTTACAAAAAGGGTAATTTTTTTGCATTCTTTTGTAAACTCATTTCTCAGTTCTGCTGTTTGCACATTAATATGCTGCTATTATTTGAGGCACAGTTTGCACTTAATGAATATCAACACTGACGTATTTGTATTCAAAACTTACATGTTGTAAAACAGGTCTGGCTATCATCTGAGTTTCATGATTGATGTAAAACCAAAAACAAACCAAAAAAATGTGTACAATACACTTCCTTCTTCTAGAAGTTTATTATCTTGTGGATTTAGATATGTCATTGTCAGTTTTCCTGAAACTTATGTTGCACAAAAACATAAAACAGGATTTCCTAATCATGAATCATGAATACTTACATAATGTGATGTTTATATTTTTCAACTGAAAAGTTCACCATTATCTAAAAGCTTAACTTTATCATTTTCAGATTTCGGCTAAAGAACTTCTGTTTGGACATTCGGCTTCAGTAACATGTTTGACAAGAGCTAGAGACTTCTCTAAACAGCCTTATGTTGTCAGTGCTGCTGAAAATGGGTAAGACCAAATTGAAACTTTGCAGCACTCCATACCCTCTACCCCTCCTTTTGGAGACCCTCTCAAATCTGTTTTGGAAAGAGGAGATAGACAGATAGACAGACACACAGATAGATAGACAGATAGATAGTAAGTAATTAGAATTAAAGACCAAAGTGCTAAAAGTGGAGTGATAATTATAGTTTCACCATTGCTTTGATTTTTATGAGTGTACAAACACATGATCAAACCCACTATTAAGTTTTGGCATTTAGGAAAATTCCCTGTGACAGAAACAATGTTATCCATTTACCAACTTTTGTTTTTTTCTTTGTGGGCATCCAGGAAGATTATATTTGTTACCCAATTTGGAGTAAGTTGACACTATAACTCTAGGTTCTGGCCAGTGAAATTATATGTTCTTTTTTTTTAATCTTTCAATGCCCTCACTCATTCCTCTTAGCTTTCCATCCTTCACATCTGGCCCTCTTACTTCTGGTAAGCAGAGGTGTGTTCTCTGTATTCATGAGTTTCTTTTTTCTTTTTAGATTCACATATGATAGAAATCATGTGTTGTCTTTTTCTTTCTCTGTCTCTGCCTGATGGGGTAGAGTTCGAGTGCTAAAGAAAACCTTGATTATCAATACATTCCTTTTACAATTGGAAAATTTAGTCCTTAAATGGTGGTCCCAAAACATGTAATCAGTACCATAACTCCAATCCAGGATCCTTTAGTGGCTGACCTGGGACCAAGATAAACATTGCAACTCATATGTCAGATCTCTTGGCAACCTCCCTATTTAAAGAATACTGGCAAAAGCCACCTATTTTAGATTGAAAATGGAAAAGTAAAGGTGCTTGACCTTTGTCATGTAGTAACTCACTTTCAGCTCTTAAGCAAACTCATCTAAACCTTCATCATTTGGTAAAACAATTCACTAGTTACTGTTTTCTGTTTTATGCACTGGTCTGAAACCATAAAACTAACAGAAGAGAAGGCTCATTTGTAAGTGAGATAAGGAAAAGGAACACAGTGATTTGGTGCAGTTTCGTGGAAGGGAGGTTTGTTCCAATGAAACAGGACTTGGCTGTAAGAAAAGGCCCTGCTGATTGAAGAGCTGCTGTGAGCTAGATTGGCTTATGAATTATACGCGGAAATATACTCAGGAATGCAGAATCGTAGGATTTAGCTTGCATTTGTGAATGGAAGATTGGGTTACTGGTAGACACAAGACCAGTCCTTTTTTGTTTTTAAACCGAGAAGAAATTGCATGGCTCTGAATTCTGAGAGCCAAAAGAATAAAGAAGAATCAGGTATCAAACTTGTAGAGACTGAATAGTTTAATAACTGGCACAGCTTATAACAACACAAGAGTAATACTTGAGAGATTGAACTTTGGATGATGCTAAAGTAAATTACCCTAGAACATTCTTTTTAAAACAATCGCCAGTAGCTGTCGTACAACTAGGACTGGCACAAACCCTGTGTTTTGTCCTGAACTAGAGAATTTAGTAGATGGGATTGTTTTCTGGGACTACTTGGAAAGTTGAGAACAATGAATAGCTAAATGAGAAATAGATATGCAAAGCAGCTGAGCTCCAACATGAGGTTTTTGTCCACAGTGGTCTAGCTCCAAAAAGGACAAATGGAACCAGTGGGCATAATTTTGCTGATAGATGAATGCAGCTGTATGAGCCCTGTTAATATGATTGTTAAACAACCAAGGAGTATGGTTTGGTGTTCCTTTTCCAGGATGATTTGAATTTTCTGAAACTCTGTTCCTTCAGCATCTAAAACCCAGCCTGCATCTATAAGGCAATACCTACACTTTAGCTAATGCATACCTGAGAAACTATAATTTAATTTGCTAGAACTTATTAATCTTACTAAGCTCAGCCCATTATTACCTAAACAACAATCACTTTTTTTCTTGAGAAGTCCCACTAAGTGGCTGTGGACTTAGTATTTTTGTCCAGTATGAACAGAGGGGCCCAAAATTGCTCCATGACTCATTTTTTACTCCCTGCCCCCAAATATTACTTCATCTGTAGTCACAAATCCTAAGATTCAGGAATCCAGTGAATTCCAGGATAAGTGAAAGGAACTAAATACCTGGACACCTGATGTTGAAATGACAAACTGCCAACGAAATAGCAGAGATCCTGAAAAGTAGTCAGTGAGGAAAAGCAGATTTTTTTTACAAAGGCATATTAATTAAACTGAAAGCTGGTTTCTTAACAATGAAATGAAGACTAGACAACAGTGAAATATCCTCGGCAAGTTGATAGAAAATATCTGTTAATTTAGAATTGTATCTCCAGTGAAAATAGCTTCCAAAATGAAGGCAAAATAGTTAACATTGAAGACAAATGCTAAGAATCCTCACTACTAGCTCAGTAAAACAGTGATTTCAGGGGGAAAAATCTGAGATGAAAATCAGAATACTGAATGAAAAGCAACACATTTTTATAACATTTAAATAAGCTCAGACTATAACACATGGTTTATATATATCCTCTTTCCCCACATCCCCTACCATACACACAGGATCCTAATCAACAACTGTATATAAAAGAATAGTGATCAGATTTCATGGGTCTCGTATTCTGGAGCTAGGGAAAAAGGTTGATAAACTTTAGACTTTAAGTTAGATATATTGATACATGTTTACATTTCCTGGATAACTGTTACAAGAATCAACAAAAAATAAATAAAAATAACGAAGAAATAAAATAACTTCTTATTTAAAAAAGGAAATAAAATGTTTATACCAAAGGAGTCAAAAATCAGGGACAATTAGCACTAGAATAAGATAGTTGAAATAAATCTCAATAAAGGTTGTACTCTCAATTATGTAAAGGGACTAAGCCGCCAGCTAAATTACAAAGATTATCAGACAATTAGAAAAACCAAAACAGCATAGGATATAGTAGAGCTAAAAGTAAAGGGATGGGGAAAGATTTTTCAGATAAGTACTAACTGAAATATATTTGCTATTGCTGTATTAATATTTTATATTAATAAATATATGCAGTTAATAAAATTTTAAGGCAAAAAGCTTTGGCTTGATAAAGAGGGCTATAACTTATTAATATAACTTTCAATCACCAGAAGGAGATGAGACTAGAGAAAGAGGCAGGTTCCAGTCTTGGAGGTTTCTGGACACCACTGCTCAAACCGGAGCAACTCTTATCTACAAACAGATTTCTAGGCCAGCTCCTGGAACGTCAGATTCAATAGGGCTGGTGAAGGGTCAAGAACTTACATTTCTAACATGTTTCTGGATTGTGGTGATGCTGCTAATTCAGAGAGTATATTTGGAGTAGCATACCTCTCACCCGTGGGGCAGAGAGAGGAATTGTGAAGTCAAGAATGATGGGACACTTGTCAGTGACCAGACAGGTTATGGAGAATAAGCACCAAAGGAGGGAGGATGTTATGTTGCATTTTGAGCTAGAGGGGTGTGAAGGGCTAAAAGTCATGGAAGGGGGGACATCTAATAACTAACTGGATTTGGAACTCAGCAAACAAACAGGCGTGTGCTTACAATAGCATATAGAAGGTGCTGATAACTCACCCAAAGAGAGTGTGCTATGTGAGAATGTAAGAAAGCCTAAGACAAAAATCTAAGGAAAGCTAACATTGAGGAAGCAAGCAGAGGGGAACCTGGGAATGCCAAAGAAAGACCAGAAAAAAAGTGTAATGGAAAACAAGAGAATTTGAAAAATGTCATGGACTTGAATTTAAGTGGCAAACTAAGCATTCTTGATGCTCTGTTCTCCCTCTAAGACACTACATAAAAATTTTAATGAAGCAATAACTGTGTTAATAACATAGAATTATTAGATAGGTATGGGACCAACAGAAAATAATGCATTTCTAAATGATGAAAAGTGGATGGAAACCTGGTGATAGATCTATATAACTTCTATTTGACCATTAATGCATTTTTACTGAGATAATGAATTGGGGACATAGCATTGAATTTAAAAAAATAGTCCTTTCTCAAGGTATTTTAGTGGGAATTTAACAATTTGCCAATTTTATATGTTGTGGATACTTTACATTTTCCTCTTCATTGAAATAAGAATAGGAAGAATTGTAAAAAATTTGGAAATATTATTTTTTTTAATCTTTAATCTGGGAACAGAAGAACTTTAATGGTTAGATTTCATGTCATCATGAGTATATAACTTGTACAGTTCCAACTAAAATGCAAATGTTACTTTATAATAACAATTTGTTCTCTTTTCTTAAATAAGATTAGTAGACAGCCTACTTTCAGTTTATGTTATTTTTTTTTCAAATTTAAGATAAAAAATAAGATGATAAGACAGGGGAAACATCAGAATCCAAGAGAATTTAGAAATAGTATCACTGAAGATCTTCTCCTGAATATCAGGTTCCAGCCCTGGAAACGGATTAACTAGCATGGCTCCATGTCTGAATTGAGTACAGACATTAGTATTTTTTTTAATATTTTTTCTTTATTGAGGTAACACTATTTTATATCACTAAACATGATTTAGGGGAATGGGTTCACACATCCTCAGAACATTAGTGTTTTTAAAAACTCCTTGATAATTCCAACATATAGCCAGAAGTTAGGACCACTTGTCTACAGTAGACTTATGCAGAAACAGGTCAGTTAACCAGAAGCTTCAAAAAAGCCCACAGAAGCATGGAATTAGAATCTATTGAGGATGATTTTTAAAATATTCACAGGTAGACTTGAGAACCATGGTAATGAACTCAAATTCCTTGCATAGAGCTAAAATGTTTTATTGGTGACTGCTTGGTTTTATTTTTTATTTACTTTGCTATATATTTATTTTCAATTCAGATAATATTTCAGTTTCCATCTTTATGCCACTCTGAATTTTCAGACACACATATAAACAGAGGTTTTTTTTTTTTTTTTTTTTTTTTTAATTGAGTTACATCCCTTTTCAGATTACCTCAAATCCTGGTTGGAATAAAGTTGAACATAAACAGAGAGGAAAAAAACTATGAAAAATTTGTTTCTTTATCTAGAATATGGTTTCTCAACCTCAGTACCCATGGTACTTTGGACCTCCATCAGATAATTCTTTGTTGTGGGTTCCTGTCTGAGTTATATAGGATGTTAGCAGCATCCCTGGTCTTTCCCCACTAGATGCCAGTAGTGTGTTCCTAGTTGTGACAATCAAAAATACCTCTAAATATTATTGTTTGGGGTGCAAACTTACTTAAGTGGAAGAACACTGCTTTAAAAAGATTGAGTTAGAGTGTTAGGTCAGAAAAACAAAAACAAAAAAGTCTTTGTTACCAAATGGATATAGTCTTTGTTACCAAATGGATATTTACCATTATTCATCCTTACCTTTTGCTTCTTAATATTAGTAGCTTCTCCCTTAAAGCCAATAAAGCTTTCCTTTTCATCCATGGAAAATTTTGCTTATGCATTAAAACTATCAAAATTGAAGAATATGATTATCAAATAACTCTGAAACAATTTTTTTTTTTATGAACAGAAATAGTACAGATTTATGCTACCTTGCACTGGATTATTTAGTAGCTGTATTTCATATTACTTTTTGTAATATTCATACAGCCAAATCAGTATTTTCTAAACAATGAGAATTTCTAAATATGAAGTGGCAAGTACGATTCCAGGATTTCAAGAGAAGCAAAGAAACAAACCGTGCTCCTGATTGACCAAATGTGGCCTCTTGGTGGCACTGTTTATTTTTACAAAAATTGGTACCTCAGCTCCAAAAGATGTAGCATTTGATTCATTATGCTCTTCAGAATATGTAGTTTAAGTTCAGTGAAATAAACCATTTTCAAGAGGAAGCAGCGTCCATGGAAAGATTGCTGTCCTGCCACTCTAGAAGGCTGAGAGAGCTGTTCCCCCACAATTTGTTGAGGGCCCGGTTGGAGTTAAAGTAAGGTTTGTACACTGAGAACAGGGTGTAATTACCCAGACAAAAAGACACAGTTGTACAATATGTCATCCCTGCTAATGACCACAACGTTTTCTTGCCCAGTAATCTATAACAAAAAGCCACATAAACGATCAAGCTTCACGTAAGTGCAGCACTAAAGAAAAACTTGGTGGCACTAAAATTATTCCAGCCAATTGAGTGGAAATGACAGAGAATAATACAAAGTTCTCTCTCCTAGGGAGATGTGTGTCTGGAATGTCACCAATGGACAGTGTGTGGAGAAGGCCACACTTCCTTACAGGCACACTGCAATCTGTGTGAGTATGGATACTTTCTGCAGAACATTTCTGGGTTCTGAAATTCCTTTATAGCATTTGCTATGCACACATATAGAGCAATATCTTTGGAGGATTTTTTCTTGAATTTTTTATTTTGTCATTAAAATACTTTCAGTTATCATCTATTTGGCATTATTCTTTCCCAAAAGTTATTATCCTACTATTTTTCCCAGTTCTTTTATTTCCATCTCTATCATTGATGTATTTAAAAGATAGTTTCCTTTTTTTATCTTTAATTATTCACATGAACACAGAAAGGTTAATTCCTAATAACTTCTTATTTTATAAAACAATTTTTTCACTTCCAATTTTAACCTTTGGTTTAATTAATTTCTAAATTTCTTATTTTTAGAAAGAGGCATAACCATAACCTTTATAATCACTTCCTGACATTTAAAGCAAATTTTAACTTTTGATGACTGGGCACCAAGCATTTATGTGAGGTACTTACATGATTTCTATGGTGCTGACAGATTTTTTTATATTTCATTCATTGCTTTGAACTTTGATATTTGTTTTGCAAACTTTTACAAACTCTTTTCCGGAGCCAAAACCTGCACAGAGAGAGAACTCATCAAGGATGGAAGATATTATTCAATCACAAATAAAAGCTATCCTCAACACTAAGTTGGCACAAGAATTCCTGCAATACTCTTTAACCACATTTATTTCTTCTTAACCCATGGAAGTGTTGCCAGGATAAGGAACCTGGTTTTGTTAGTTCTACATAACACTCCACTAATTTACTTGTGAGTTTTCCATAATTTGGAATAACATTCTTTCTTTACAAAGGCTTTTTTTTCTGAAAATGCCAAATCAATGCTTTAGAAGTGTGACACAATTGAAGTAAAAAAAAAAAAAATTAGTTGTTATCAGTCTAATACCTAAATTGAGTAGATGATAAAATTAAAATCCGGAGAAGCCTTCACCACAAAGTTACGTTAATTGCAGTAATGATTAAATTTTTGCTTCTAATTCCATTTGCAGTATTACCACTGCTCATTCCGGATGACAGGAGAAGGGTGGCTTCTCTGCTGTGGAGAATATCAAGATGTCCTTATCATTGATGCCAAAACTTTGGCTGTTGTTCATACTTTTGCATCTTCCCAGTCTCCTGATTGGATCACCTGCATGTCGATAGTTCACTCTGTGAGAATTCAAGGTAGTAGTTAGGCATTATATAGTAATAAGCAATTGACTATAACAGAATATAAAAATATCACTTTTGGACAATTTGTTAAATTGTTGGGCAAGAGTTCAGAATGCTTATGTATGTTAGAAGGATAGATCTCTAAGCCAGAGCAGCACAACTGAGAACACTCAAACCAGTGGTTCGAGTTGTTGGAAAGTCAGTGAGAAGTGAGAATGAAGTAGAAAGAGAAAGCTTTGTTTCCATGGCCAGCTCAGTGGTGCATTTTAAGCACAGCAAAGAGATGTTTTCTGTTGATTAGCAGGACTCTTAGGAATTCTGCCCTGCTGTATCTTCTGGATATTGTGATGAAGATAATTCAATATCTGTAGAATAACTACATGGGAAAGAGAAGACTGGTTCCCTATTTTTTTAATAGAAAGGTGTAATACTGCCATTATAAGGATTCACAATGCGATTCTGCTTTTAGTTTGCTCTCCTTTTACATGGGGGTCATTTTGAAATTTTAAAACAAGTTTAGACTACGATCTAAAATGTTTTTTATTTTAATAAGTTGAATATTTTCAATCAAATAGCCCTGTAGAGGGATTGAGGTCAAAATAAGGGGGGTGCAATTGTATGGGGAATATAAAAATAAATTTTAAAAATCTAAAAAAAAACATAGCCCTGCATAATCTTTAAATGATCATAAAGTAATCCTTACAGCAACCAGTTATAATAGTGGTCAGCTTATACTTGAATGTTATTGTTTTTACAGAAGATTCTCTTGTCGTGGTATCAGTAGCTGGTGAGCTCAAAGTGTGGGATCTGTCATCATCTATCAACAGCATCCAGGTTGGCTTGTGAAGTTCTAGTCCTTGTTCCTCTAACTGCAGGCCTTTTTATTGATATTGTGAAGTTTACTTCCCTGTACTTCTTCCATCCCTCTTCTCATTGGTAGGCATTGGTAAGAATTAGCTTGTATCCTTCCAACCTTTTCTCCATGCATACACAGGTGCTTTTATCTACAAACACACGCACACACACACACTGCATTTTTAATTAAAAAAATCATAGAAGAATAGCTCTCTGCCCCTTACAGCAGGAAAAAAACCTTTCTTCTGGGCATATGTGAGCAATGGTAGGGAGAAGATGATGAAAAGCTGGGGACACATATACTGCTCCCTACCATTAGGTGATAGGAAAAAATCAGTCACTGTATATGCGTTGGTGACATAGTTGTTTAATTTGCCACATGGACATCTGGACTGTCTTTAAGGAATTTCTTGGTTGAGGAAGCATTTTGGCATACTGAACCCAAAAAAAACATGCCTAGCATTATCAGCAAATTTCTGAGACTAACGTAATGTATATGTTCAGTGTTGGATATTCTTCTGTTCTTTCAGAGCACTTTGTTCATTTTTCTATTATGACAGGGTTTTAAGAAAATATTTAACATTTTGTTTGTTTCATCTCTCTATCATGTCTGAAGGTCAGTAACTTAGTAACTTAATGTCCTCAGCACCCAGCATAGCTCCCCTAAAGGATGTTTCTTAAATGGTTGTATGGAATGAATCTCTGGATCCAATTAGGCTTCCTGTTCATGCTTTCTTTTGTCAAGTGAATTCTTAAATCAGAAAATGCAAAAGGAAATTGGGGTACTTTTCATTTTATAAATAATAGTGTGATTTACTTAAGGTTACAGGACAAGAAGTCATCTGATACAGTGATACACAAATTATCTAGATAGTATTCTAAAATGTTTTCATTCCTTTTGAAGGAAAAGCAAGATGTCTATGAAAAGGAATCCAAATTTCTTGATGCCTTGAACTGCAGGACAATACGATTTTGCACATATACAGAGAGACTTCTATTGGTGGTGTTTTCCAAATGTTGGAAGGTAGTGCAAAATAATGTAATAAATACCAGTGATGTACAAACGTGACTTGTTTTTGTTCTTGTTGAGGGCAACAATTATAAGAATATCATTTAAATATGATACAAAATCTTCATTATTACCATGTTATTACCATGTATGGTAATAACATGGAATGACTTTTCTTTTATGACTGACTTTTATTAGTTTCCTACTGCCTGCCTAGCACTGTGTGTGTGTATGTTTATGTATTTTATATTATGTATATCCAGAGAATGAATATATACTAATTTCACTAACAACAAATCACAATAATGATGAGCATTTATTTCTTATTTTCAAAGATTGGTGCCTGCACTTTAGGATTAAAAGGAACAATAATGCTTTTCACCTACATACACTGATATTATTATATTTTTTCCTACTTTGTCACTCCGTTATTTTCAGGGAACATACAATATTTCTTGGGAATATATTCACTGACATCTTTAAGAAGAAAAACATAATTATGCTGCCATCATTTGCTAGCATCTTTTTCTATAATGGTTCATATATACCTGACTTGATTACCAAAACTGTATTGTCTTACCTATATACTGGTAATACATTTCAAATGAAAATGTGAAGTGTATGATCTCACAAAGTATCCCTGCTGTACAGACCTTTCTGTGTAATAAATTTTCAAATATCACAATGGGGCTATCCCTATGGACAAAAAAAATTACAGAGACATTTTGGGGGTTTTGGTCTCTGTGCTTAATGGACACATTCTGAATTTATATAACCAGATAAAGTTATCAACTGAAACTTACCCTAGGAGAACTGTGGAAAAGAAAGTACTAGTAAAGTATTATTTTCATATGAGAGTTCTGTGTGGCCTGTTATTAATACTTAATATGTTGTTGCAGTAATACTGCCATCTAAATAGACTTGATAAGCATAATGTACCTTCCATCTCATTGGCAGACTAGATGGTAAGCTATCGTTAATGTGCACCATTAATTTTGTATCCTAGGTTTATGATTATTGTGATTTTTCCCTTCTCTGGACTGAAGTTAGTAAGAGTGGGGAGTTCTTTGCTGGTGGAGAGGTGCTCGCTGCTCACAGAATCATCATCTGGACAGAAGATGGTCACAGTAATATCTATCAGCTGCTGAACAGGTGGGCTCAGATGGGAGCGGCATACAAAACATTCAGGTAGAAAATGAACTTTGGGAGGTTTATTATGGAAAAATCCCTGCATGCTGCCCATGATCAAAAACCAGAACAAAACAACTTTGGCACTAGAAGATTTACTCTGGGCTTGGTAGGCTTCAGCCTTTGTATAAAACAGCAGGGGATGAAGGAATGAGATTAACCATGTATAACTTGTACAGCTGGTGCTGGGTTTTCAAAAAGTCACTTGTAATTATTAACCCAACAATTTCTAACTAGAGTTTAGAAACTTGAATGGTACCATCCGGCTTTTGAAAGTGGGAGGAGAAAAAATGAATAAAGAACCCCAAAGTTCTAAACTTTGCTTTTTATTTTTCGCCACACAGTGGGCTTTCAAAAAGCATATATCCTGCTGATGGAAGAGTGCTTAAAGAGACCATTTATCCTCATTTACTGTGCTCTACTTCTGTGCAGGAAAATAAGGTAATACAAGAAAAGAGTGACAGCCTCAAAGCTGTTTCACTCCATTTCTAGATAAGTGTTGCTTTGTCTGTAGTAGAGTCAGGCTTTAAAAAATTGAAGAATCACATCAAGTTGCTAATGAGAAAATTAAATCTAATTGTTAATGGCTACTGAAGAGAAAAATGAATTTCAAAAGTCTACATTTTTAAGTCTGATTAAGCAATGCATATGTATTACAGAAAAATCACATTAAAGGGGGAGAATAAAAATTCTTAATTTTACTGCCATAAATATCACTTTAAATATTTTTTTTTATTTTGAGTACTTCCTTTTTCTAATTGGGGAAATTTTCAAATATTTGAAAACTTGTAAGAAGACTAAAAAGATCACTTACATACCCTTTACCAAAATTTACAAACTGTCAACATTTTGCTCTAAATTATTTTCTCATAATTTTACACATACACATATTTTTCACTGACATTTTATTATTAACATTTTGATGTATCTACTACAATTTTTTTAAAGTTTACCAAGTGATGTACATCCTGCTCTTTGTTTTCTTACTTAAAATCATATATGGATTTTTTACATGGATATAACTATTCTGAATAAATTTTCTTGGTAAAACAAATTATAATTATGATTCTCTTGGCAGAGATTCGAGGAAATAATTGTGAGCTTTTACTTGACTGAATTATCTCTCTGATACTCTATAATTCTGAAGGTTTAAGCAAGTATTTTATTTCAGTAGAGTTAACTGAAGTGGGTTTTTCTTAACTTATTGGATTTAGTCATCCATTAATTATCCAAAAAGTTGTATCATGGAGAATGGAGGAGTTTTGAATTATTGATGTGTCAACCAAAGAAGCATGTTTCTTTTTTACAGAATGATGGTTTGTTTAATAGGCAGCAGAGCTGCTGGAAATCCTACAGTTCAGTGATTGTCCCTGTAACATATTTGTGAGGTTTTGTTGCAAAAACTTGATTAAGAAACTGTCAGCCAGAAATCAGAACTCCAAGTGCCACTGGGGCCCCAGCAAACTTCAGAATCAGCATCAAACACTATTTCTAAAATCATTTATGGTGACATTGGAGACTTGTTTTGCTGTTGATCACAAAAACATTCCTGTGACTCATAAAGGCATTTTTAGTTATTTTTATAGTACCTGCCCACTCTTGCTTATTAGCTTCAGAATCAGTCAAAAGTACAGTTCGCCCTAAACGCTAATTGTAAATGGTGTCCTGTAGGAGCTTCTAGTCTACTGCAAATATTAATGCTATTCATAGATACAAGAAAAAATACAGCAATTAAAAATTAACTTAAAAAATACTAATCTTATAGGAAGTTGTCTTGCTTATTCCTCAAGATGTAAAAACACCTATGTATAGGTCTTCTCACAATAATTCTTATACAGACAATACAATTGTTTCTGAACATTAAAAGTGGGAAGTGTTTGGAAGCCAGTGAAATATGAACAGAATAATCTGCAACTGAAAGAAGCTGCTGACTCTGCCATCCTTAGGCTCTGTTTTGCCTTTTATTCAGTCAAAAAATTAAAGTCAAACATTATTCCCCTTATTCAAAACATTACCAATATTCGCTGCATGTAAGATTTCTTAAACTCACTTGCAGTTAGGAGATAATGAAGGCTCGTGATTGGGTTAGGTGTATAACATACAGTGAACTCAGAAAAAATTGCTCCTTATACATGCAGTATTAACTGGTCTCTCTCTCTCTCTCTTTTTTTTTTTTTTTTTTTTTTTTTGGAGTGATACGGTAGAATTAAATCTCAAGGTTTGACAGTAACATATTCTGAGTTACCATTTGTGATGCTGTGCACATATTTACTAATGTAATTATAGTAGCAAGAATAGGGACCCTTCCCCTTCTTTTCAGTAGCTTTATGAAAATCTCCCCAGTTTCAAATCACAGCTGATGAGTACTGAGGCCTGTGGCAGGGTTCCTGGCTGCTGAGATGAGGCATTGAATTTTCCAGTGTCCTAGCTGAGAACTAAGATGACAGTGCCAAGACAGGAGTAGCTGGGATAGAACAGTTTGAGAATTGTATATAAGGAATTTGGTGCATGAATTAAGAGTAATGACAATGACGGTAATGATTGGCAACTTTTATTAAGTCTTCATTATTGTTAAACATGTACACTGCCTCATTTGCATGAATTTCCATCATGCTCTATTGTGAAACTGATATTTGGAGAGGTTAATTCCCAGGAGATGACCCAGACAGTGTGATCCGAGAGTCTCCTAACAAGTCTTTAGAGTGAGTTTTTCAATTGTTCTAAGAAGAGAACAATAGGAATCATTAATATTTATTGAGTATGTACCAAATGCCTGGCACAATCTAAGCAAATTACCTTTATCAACTCATTAACCCTGACAGCAATCCCAAAGCACATCATAGGTGTTTTGATTAGCCTTCAGTCAGTCAGGCAATGTGAGACACAGAGAGGTCACACAAATTGCTTAAATCGAGTAACTGACTCTTAGAGTTAATATGTGCTAAAACCAGGATTTGAATCCAGAAAGGTGGCTCAAGAGAATTCACTCTTACAAACTATTTTATTACCTCTTGGAGGATGGTACTGCTTATGATAGGTACTGGGTTCTGGGGTGAAAAATCCAAATTCATACAGTAAGGGCTCCAAGGGGTTTTTCAAACAATAGCAGAACTATAAAGGTAACTATCTAGAAGGAAGATTGGGGGGTTAAAGAGGGGGTGTGCACAAATAAGGGTCATGGGCTGATGGGCAACTTGCTGGGCTGGGAGGCAGGAGGTGTTCCTGAGTGACCACACTCAGAGACAGTGACCCCCCCCCTCTGAAGCTTCATTTTCTTATCAAAATCCTGAGGGATCTGGACTAATCCCTTCGAAGGTTCTTGAAAGTTGAGAGAACTTGAGAAACCAGTTGAAACAAATTTTATCACCACCATTTTTAACAATTACAAAAATGATGGGCATGAGAAGCACAAGATACCAATGTGGCTTCTGAATCGTGAAAAAAAAAAAAAATCAGAGAAGTGACTTGTTGGGAACTGTTTCTCTTCCCCAGTGCTTATTTCTTGGGAGCATAGGGGGTTATTATGTATCTTGGTCACATGGTCTTGGATTCCTTTCATACTGTCTTCCAGTGTTAGTTTCCTTCCTTTAATGACAGGAATGATAACAGTGTCTATTTTGTACTTTGGTTGTGAGTATTAAATGTTGCAATGTTTTGCCCTTAATATTCTATAAAGATATATTATTGTATTTCCCCATGAATATACCTAAATCTGGTCCTTTTAATATGTATCTTCTGACTAGGAACTGTTGCTTTCTTAGACTTTGTCATTCTAACACCTAGAGTTGGCTTTCTTTCAGGATACTTTATACATCAAGAGAGTTTTGTTTTTGTTTTTTCTTATCACTTAATCACTTTGATCCCTTGTGTATAATCTGTATTTACATGTCTACTCACAGAACAGCTTTACTGCACTGAAGCACTAGAGAGATTCTATACTCATTCACTAGTGAAAACATCTTTCAGTTTGCTGGCAGCCAATATTCATATTTTCAGTAAAATTATTACATAGACACATATAGGCAATATATGTACTTATAAATATTATAGTATATATTTGAAGATGTGAACTCATTGTTCGCTCAGAAAATTTAAAAAGTCTTACCAGACAAATGGTCAACAGAAACTGAAAAGTACATTAATAACACAAAATTACCATATACCTATTAGTGACTGTTATTTTCACTGACAATTGTCACTGAAGGGATCATAAAGAAATCAGTCCTCCCCAGTGGATGGCAGAGTATTTTCATTAAGAGATGGATGCTTGAGTCAGAATTACTGGACTCAAAAGCCCATCGCCATCTGTATCACCTCAGATAAATCAGCCTCTTCACTCTCCGTTTACTCATCTATAAAATGAAGACAATGATAGTGCCAACTTCGCAGGATGATTGTGAGGATTATCTAACTGAGTAGATGTAAAGCCCCTAGCAGTCAGTGTAATTCTTACACAGAGCATGTTCAGAGCTCTCTGAAGTCTAGCTGAGGACTTTGCTGCTTATTGTATAAATGTGTCTTTGTCTTAAGTGATGATTTCACTTAATTCACTTGAAGTTTTTGAAACAACTAGAAATAGAAATGATTTAAGATCAGTGATGGAGTTTTGTTCCTCCTTTATAAACACAATGGTGGCTGTCTCTTTATACTTAGATGTTTTCCCTACATAGAAGCTAACTTTTTGTTTCACACCAGAGCCTTCCTTTTGTTATGGGCTACATGAATGAAAGAAAGGAGCCTTTTTATCAGGTACTTTTTTCTGGAGAAGTCTCAGGAAGAATTACTCTGTGGCACATCCCTGACGTTCCTGTATCCAAGTTTGATGGTTCTCCTAGAGGTAAGACTGCGTCTAGTCACATGTCTTCTAAGAACTAGTTTATAATCACTCAGTGTTTGTCTAAGTTGAGGAGCATGTGGCTAGGTAAGAGGAAAATTTTCTGTGTTCCACTCTGCATTTGGTCAACATAAAAGTAGATATGAACATGTTGCTTATAGATCTTTTACAGAAATATGACCAATATAATTCAAAATAACATCAATTGAATATTTGTGATGTTTTATTGAAATGAAATGAATTCTGGGATATGGATATGGGATAGGCTGATATATGACATTCACATTTTAAAATTTGTCTTGTCCATATCCTGTACTTTTGCAACCAGTTTTTCTATTGGGATTATTACAGCTGCTTGGAACTGCAAACACATATATAAACTTGGACATTAAGAGACCTGGCAACTTGAGTGATTAGATGAATTAGCAAATGCTAAGACATTTGCTTTAGCATGTGCTTATTTGTTTGTCTTACTTTCTCTTAGAATACGAAAATGAAATCATCAAAGTAAACATTATTGTGCAATATTTTTACATTCCTGATGCTACATATTCCAAATTGAGAAATCTTGTCTTCCTCTCTGCTCCTTATTCCAAAAAACAGTCATCTCTGATTAACCAGGGCACAATGAGGGTCCCTAGTCATAATACTTGAATTTGTAAGCACAAGTTTCTGTTACTTAACAACACTGGCATAACTTCTTGTGCCCCTGTCCGAATATCTTCAAAATAGATCATAACAGAGTGAGTCAATGAAAAGGCAAAGAAGTGAGTCAATGACTAACAAGAAGTGAGTCAATGAAAAGGCAAAGAAGTCCAGAGGTTTCTTACAAGTTCAATTTCAAGTAGGAAAGTATACCATTCCAATTGCTGAGACTTCTGGATGGTGGCTTTAGGACTTTTTTGTGTTAGTTCTACTTCCCAACAACAGAATTAACTCTCTAGCCAACTGGGTTCGTAATTAGCCAACTCTATAATAATGCTTTTCATAAAAAGTGTTAGTTGGAATTGAGGTTTTCACAGTCACTGGCATGTGTATTACAAGTTCAGGGAGGCCCTTTCATAGATAAGTAGGTTGACTTCAACTGGCCTTCCTTGCTCCTGGATGCCACTTCACTTCCTGAGCCCACTTGAGGTCCAATTCAAATGCCTGGGTGGTCAGCTGCATAAAATGGTAACTAGTGCTCTGGATAACCGTATAGTTGCTTAGGGTTTGATATGATAGTGAAATACTCAAATCCTTGACATTAAAGTTTTTTAATTTACTTCACACAACTAATAGACCTCCCATTTTCCTTTTTAGTTTTGCTAAGGTTAACAGAGAACCAATGGGATCAGTTCACCAATTTACAGCACTCCAAGAGTTTCTTAGTTATTTTCCATTAATCTAGATATGAAATGAATGAACAAGTAGAAATCTACTGTTTTGAGTCTCTTTGAAGGACAGAGGGCCAATACAATAATACTTTCAGTGAAGGTGAATGATGTCAAGAGAAGTTTTATGCTAATAATCCACTATTAGGATGGCCAAAGAGATGTGCCCCAATGATATTTCCTATATCTATGAATTTATAAACCCAATTTTCCTTTTTTGTGTGTTTTCCTTTTAGAGATACCAATAACTACCACCTGGACCCTTCAAGATAATTTTGATAAACATCATACAGTGTCACAAAGTATTATTGACCACTTCTCTGGGCTGAAAGATGGGGCAGAAACTGCAGTTGTCACTTCATCAGAGTATGTTCCAAGTCTTGATAAACTAATATGTGGCTGTGAAGATGGGACAATTTTCATTATGCAGGCTTTGAATGCTGCCAAAGCCGGACTTCTAGAAGGCGGTTCTTTATTAAAAGGTCATTGAATTTTATTTGACCCTATTTATTTAATTTACCTAAGCCTCACCTTTAATCAGCTTTACTTAAGAAGATTGCCAAAGAAAATTCCTGGCATTTGCTAATAAAATTGTTCTTATTTTAATAAAGTAAAACATTCGTATAGGCTTTTTCAAAAAGTCAAGCAAAGGATTATATGATGATATATATATATATAAATATATTACAGTGATTGATCTTCAAGTTCCTTCCACCAAAGAAAACTACTAATAAATCCTTTTATACCCTTTTTGAAATTTTTCATGCATATATACGCACATGTATACCAATACAGCAGTACACATTCTTTTAATTACATTATATATAAAGTTTATCTCCCACATTGATATTTATTACATTAATGACATTTCTAGCAAAAAAAAAAAAAAACAAGTAACAAGTTCAATAATTGAATTCACATTCACAGGTTTCATTTTGATCCATTAGCCAATGTGGGAAAAAGCCATATTGATCAAAGGGATTAAAAGTCAAAAAGCACCTTTTCTCTTGCTACAGTTTGTGTGTGTGTGTGCATGTGTGTGTGTGTATGTTTAAACACAGTGGCTCTAAAACTCCAAACAGATACCAGATGCAGGACTCTCATTTTAATTAAGACTATGACATGGACTTTTCTTGAAGTGAGCATTTACACAGTCATTTAAAAATTATCACTTGATTGTACAGGAAACACAAATAGAAGCATGCTGCATACACTTTACGAAAATGTGCTTAAACAAATGTTAGTATTTTGGAGCCCATTTTTGATGAGCACATTTTAAATGGTTACTACTAATAAAACATTTTATTTAAAAATCTCCAAATACATGTTTTTTCTAGCCTTTACTACAGACAATGCAGAATTACATCTCTCTGCATACAAATGTTAATGTACATATAATATTAATTCCTAAGAGATCAATTACTGGCATAAATTTACATGTGGTTTTAATTTTGAAAATGTATTAAAATATTATCCAAGGAACATGTATTGATAAGTGTGTGTGTCCACTAAAAACCTATGAGAGTGTCTTTCCCCCAAATTTTGGCCAACACTGTCTATTAAATGTTTTGATATTAGTCAACTAAGAAAAAAATCTTACTATTTTTTCTTTGTAATGAAATATAAATCTTTATGTATTACAACAATGAATACCTATTAAATTAAGACTATTATGCTGTTAAATTATTTTATGTAAGAGAATATAGGTGCTTGGGATTTGGGAATGTGCTGAGAAATTTGTATACCTTTTGGAACGGATCCTACTGGGCTACACTGTTTGATGTTTAAGACCTAAATATCAATTTAAAAAAATGTTATATTGCCTGCTGTTGTTCTCAGCTTACTTTGGCCACTTAAAAATGTTCACTTCTAATTCACTGATTGACTGAACTGGGGGAGTGAATAGCAATGAACTGAGAAGTAATGCTCAGTGGCTGCTGTTAAAAGTTAGTGAAAAGGCTTGAAACCTTAGCATTTTTTAATGTAGTTTGATTAATTTTATCCAGACGACAAGCAGACACCTATATGTGTCATTCAACATCTGATTTAATATTCATCTTGGTTCTCTAGAGGCTATAAAGTGAGGATGTGCCTAATGGAATAATATTATCATGCTTCTTTACAAGAAGTAGTTACAATTCTTTGGGATTAAATTTCAGTTTAAAAAAAGACATTTCATGGCTTCTGGGGCTATCCAATTGTTTTAGGTTTAGCCAAGGATTTAGGTGTAGCCAATGTTTTAGGTTTGCCAAAGGAAAGAAGCATGTGGGACCTGGGAGGGCATTAGCCCCATGCTCCAGTGTATCTCGCACATGAAATACCCAGTGCCTGCCAAGTGCTAAGGAATCATGTTACCACACATGACAGTGCTGTGTGAAGTTAGTGTTATTATTATTCCAATATTTCAGATGCAGTACCTGTGATTGCAAGGGAAACAGCAACTTGTCCATGGTGACATACATAGTGATAGACTCAAGAACACAAAGTCAGCCAAGCTCTGCTCTTAAACTTTACGCTGTGCAGGGACCTCCCTCATGGCACAGGGGTTAAAGTCTCAGCACTATCAAGCTATCAGGAGCCACTGTAGTATGAGTTCCATCCCAGGCCAGGATGCTAACCCACATGGTGAAGCAGAACTCTCCTGTCTCATTTACTGTTCCCCTCAACAGTAGTGTATTTCAGTAGATCTGCCTGTTCTGCTCCCCACTCTGTCTCTGGTGAATCCTCTAACCCCAGTTTTTATTTGAATAAATAAATGAAAATAAATCTTGAAAAAATAAATAAACATTATGCTGTGTTTTCTCACACTTGGATGTAAGTCACTTAACCTCTCTGAGCCTCAGATACTTTATCTGTATCAAACTAGGCAATCTGAAACATCTTTTAAAGTAAAAATATTCTGTGAAACCTTGTGTTTCTTTTATACTAGACTTGGTCTTGCTAATTTAAAGAATAGCAGTAATATGTTTTCACAGAGACCAAGTGTATACATATTTATTCTTTTAGAACAGCATTTGTAATTTTATGGTTCTGGAATTGGTAACTTGCTAACATTCTAAAGAATTAATAGACTTTGAACTACTCCTCATCAAAAGCATGACCTGGCTTATGATAAGGAACTTACCTTTTGAGATGATTCAAGGGTCATTCAATAATTTTCTTAGCCAACTACATGGCTTTAATCATACATCATTAACTTACTTTAAACATTTATGAAAGAAAACATCATTTCTTTAATATAATTAACTTTTTTAATTATTTGCTGCTTGGTTGTTTTCCAGATTCCCTTCCTCACAAAGTACTTAGAGGCCATCACCAAAGTGTGACTTCATTACTTTACCCACATGGTCTCTCTTCAAAATTAGACCAAAGTTGGATGGTGTCTGGGGACCAGGACTCATGTGTTATCTTATGGGATATCTTTACTGAAGAAATGTTACATAAATTCTTTCTGGAAGCTGGCCCAGTAACAAGTCTTTTGATATCACCAGAGAACTTCAGAGTAAGTTAAGACAAAATATGACACATAAGTGTAAAAGTTTCACAAACCTAGAGGATATTTTTAAAACATACAGAAAAATAACCTCTATTCCCACAGAAAAAGAAAAAAATAAATTCTATGTACACATAATACAATTTGGTGAGTTTTATGCTTTCCTTTATAATCTGCAATCCTGTTTATATGCTTTTTGTTATTACAGGTTAGTTTATATAAATAATTTGCATCTAAAGCAAAGATTTGTAAATTTTGACTTTACAAAAGTCACTGAACTCTCTTTAACTGTTTATATATATTTCCCAAGTTCCATATCTTACTTCTTATGGAATTATATTTTTAATAAAAGTAATGACTATTCTGTGCACAAGTAGTTAAAATAATATAAGAATCTCTAAATCAGAAATTAACTTAAGCATCCAAGCATTCACTTCTATAATAATATTGATAGTTTTGTTTTTCTTAAATATCTCTTTCATTTATTTAATAAATAATGAGCTTTAATAAATTTATGAGCATCTATCATGTCCTGGGTAAAAGGAAATACTTTCAGATATAATTTTCTCATGAAATGTAACTTTAAATTTAGCTTCTGTAGAGCTTTGTTTAATCATTGTTGAAATATGAGCAAACATTTGCATTTCCTTAGTTTGTCAGTTAAAATTAATTGACTTGTAAAAATTACTTCTCTAGAGTAATAATATAAAAATAATCAGCTTCAAAGTCAGAGAAAATTTATGCCACTTTTGTAACAAGACAATGAAAGCAGTACTGCAGTTATACAGACAATTAAAACAGTAAAACACTATTAAGTGATTTTGTTTAAAAAAGCTTTTCATATAGTAATTTGGAATACCTTGATGTATCTTTTATTCCCAAGGTTTCCTCTTGACTTCTTTTTCATCATATGTATTTTAACTACAAGGCTCAAGACCCATTCAAACCAAGTCTAATAAAAAGGAAGTTCATTGACAGGATGTCAGGGGCAATCCCTTAAGACATTGGGAGATAAAACATATCCAGGAAGCACCCAGTGGAACTCGATATAAATTCAGAAACCAAGTTTGATACTTTTTAAGCTCTTCTACCTCAAGAGTCTTAACTTTTTTCCCTAAAAGCATTTTATTCTTTGGATTGTTCCTTTTTCTTGCTATTTCCTATGACTTCTTCCAGATTTACAATTTCAGATACCTAGGAGAGAATATTATTCTAGTGTAGTCATTTGTGTATGTCTATTCCTGAGCATCATAGGAAGTTTGCTCACATGTGTTGGGTGTGTTCACGTGTTATGTGTGTGTAAGTTTCCTCAGGTATGTTGGGCTGTCCATTCTAGAAGTTGTGGGTTAATCAGCTTCTCTAAGTTTAGTAAGGAGGCATTATGCACTGCCCCATTCCACAAGCCATGGCTCCCCATATGTCACAACTCATTTTGTTACTTGTTTTCTCAGGATTTCTGTAGTCTCCTTGAGAAGAATTAGGGAAAATAAGGGCCTCTCTGGTGGCCTAGGGGTTAGATTTCAGCACTATTACCACGTAGGCCTGAGTTCCATCCCTGGCCAGGGAACTAAGCCACATATGGTGCAGGAGACCTCCCCTGGCTGGCCTGCTGCTCCCTTTAGCAGTGTATTTCAGTAGATCTGCCTGTTCTGCTCTCTGGTGAATCCTTTCATCCCCCAACACATACATACATGCGCGTGCGCGCGCGCACACACACACACACACACACACACACACACATATCTTTGGCCTACACGCCAGATCTTCTATGCAAAAATATTTAAAAAAAAAAGAATTAGGGAAAATAACATGTTCCCTGATGCCTCACAGAGGAGGTTAGTGATGGATACTGGGAGAGTGTAAAGGGATCCTAATGATGCTTTCAACACAGCAGCTGGAACTCAGGTGAGGTGGGTTAGAAAAAGTAGGAGCATCCACAGAGCAAGGTGGTTAGAAAAGAAGTTGAAAGGGTGAAAGAGCCCCTGCCTGCTTCCCCAATGACCCCAACTCCACCCCACCTAGGCTTGCTCATGGGTTGAGTAATGCATGGCCTTGTAGAGGAGACACAGGACTACCTTGAAAACTCCTCCTAAATTAGCTTCAGCAGCACCCAGATGGATGGTCTTTGTCCTAAACTGGGTTTGAGGTAACCATATGCTGATTTTTTAAAAATTATCTTAAGACTCTTTGTCCTATGGGCCTATTTTTGGTCCTTATATTTTTGAAGCTGTACATTCGTTGGAACTATCTACTGCTTACCTCTTTTAGATTGTGTCTATACTGAGTTTCCTGTTTGAATTAAAATCTGTAGAGTTCTGGGAACAGCACCAAATCACATTTTGAGGCTTTAAGTAGAAAATATCAGCTCATGATACCCTTGGGCCTAAGCTCGTGTCTACAAATAGCTTCTTTTTGTGGCAACAAATTAGTTCTGGGGTTTATTTTATTCTGCATTATTTCCGATGTCTGCCTCACTGCCTGAATTTGCTGAGTGATGGTCAAGTCCTTCATTTATCTTATAAGTAGATCTGGCCTGGAATTCTCCTTTTAACTTGCATCTCTTGACCTTCCTGATAAGTTGTTGAGTTTAAAGCAGGCATTTAAAAGCTCCCTAGTAGAATGTTCTGTGGAAAGGTGCTATAGAAAGCAGCAATGCAATTTTGTAAATGGAGTTATAACAAAAATTTTATGTCAGTAGGAGGGAAATCTGATTTAACTTTTAAGAGAACATTTGACTATTTACTTACATGAAAATACTGTTCTTTCCCCACAGCTAAGAAGTGATCAGGTCATTTGCTGTGTGTGCAGTGACCACTCGGTAGCTCTCCTTCACCTTGAGGAGAAGCGGTGTCTCCTGAATGCCCGGAAGCACCTTTTCCCTGTAAAGAAGATAAAATGGCACTCAGTTGAGAACTTTTTAATTGTTGGATGTGCAGATGACTCCGTTTACATCTGGGAAATCGAAACAGGTAAACTGAAATTTTACACCTTTCCATCATTTGTATAGTTATGACATCAAAGCACTTGACTGAGAGGAGAGTTCCTGAGAAGACTTGGTGATGACCTCACTTACTTTAACCTTTGGCTGAGCTGCATTTAATAGTGAGGGTTGAAGGCATGTATAGAAAATAAAGCACTGTGCCCAAGTCAGATCCTGACCAAATGATGATTAGCTGACAGAGCAGTGCACAGGAATGAGCCTGATATTTCTGGAAGCTATAAATAAAAACAGAAGTTATCTACTTTAATTATTAACAAGAGAGAAATTTAGTGTCCTACTAGTCTCAAATTATCATTAAATTCTGCCTCCTTCAGCATACTCACCATCTCAGCAACGTTTTGAGTTAATTGATGATCAGTAATAATGGAATATAATTAATTACAGAATTCCAAAAAGTTGAGTCAGGGAAAATGAAAACTGAGTGGCTCAGTTAAACTTTTGATATTGTCACATAGAGAATATATAGTTTGAACTTCCAAGTTTCTTAAAAACTTTTACTAATATAACATAAGATGGAGAGTAATATGCTAGGAACACATCAAATAAGGTAATCAAACGTGGTAGTTAATGAATATGAGTCAGGGGAATGCATTTCAGAGTACATTTCTTGAAACCATTGCATGATTTTTATTGATTAATCAGTGGTGGTTTTATGTTGGGTGTTATTAACAGACTGGATAGTTTATAATATTATCATTTAGAGCCATACTTCACCAAAATACTTACTGTTTTCTTTACATTTGACTTTCATGTGTTAATGATGATGGCTAATGCACTGGTGTGCACATCAGCTAACATACAACTGCCTACTGTTTTTACCTTATTAAACAGCTTTGGTGGGCTTTCATACTCACTTCTCATTAGATGATCACAGCTTCTAGGCTACAAGTATTATTTTCTATTTTATTGATGAGGAATTTGTAACTCTGATTTGTAAATGTGCAAGATTGCACAGCTAGTAAGCAGTGAGCCAGTATGAGGGCCCCCATTGTTCTTTGAATGAAACACACAAAATTAGGAGAGTTTTAGAATTCTTGGGTAATCTATCATCCTGATTGACAGTTGTGTATACTGAATAAAATTGACTCTCAAGATTGAGGTTGCCTCCAGGACCTGCTACCAAAGAGCTGTAGGTCTTGGGCACATTACTTGGCTTCTAAGCATGTCAGTTACCTCCTCTGTGAAATGGGAGTAATGATATTGTCCCCTTGTTAGAATCTCAGTCCTTTAACAGTGCTATAGGTACTAAGCCATTAGTAATAGAGAAGTATTATTATTATCTTCACTTCTGCTTGTGAAATCGGAGTCTGTAAAACACATGCACTTATAAATGCATACAGTTACATTGTTTTTATTTGTAAATTCTTTCCCAGAAAATAGAATCTGGCAAAAATAAGGTACACACTCACAAGTGTTTATGGTCCCATTGCCTTAGGAGATTCCTTTCAGACTATGCAACATTTTGTGTATTTTTGGATGGGGTTGGAAATAAAGGAGGGGAGTTAAATCTGTAGTACTTCTTCAGAATCATGTTCATTCTCATGTTGTACTTTAACTTGATTTCTTTTTATGTTCCCAAAATGCATAATCAAATGTAAGTCATTTGAAAACTATAGAGAAACTTCATCAAAATAAATAATCTTATCTCACATCTTAAAGATACCTGCCATTCATATTTTAATCTAGTTTCTCTCAGACATCTTCCATTGTCAGTAAATAGATGATTCCATTGTGTTTCAGCCATGGTCCTGGCAGAAAACAGAATTTAACCCAGACGAACCAAAGGATGAGACATTAATGAAAAGATTATTTACAGGGGTGTGGATAGGGATTAGTGAACAGACAAGGAATCAATAGTGGGGTCCCTGTTACCCAAGCACTAACAGTATCAGGCGATTCCTAGTACTTCTGGGACTAAAATGACAAAAGAAAATGGTGTTGCAGGAACCCAGTGCCAGCTGAGGCCAAAGAGGAGGAATGGTCACTCCCTGAAGTCATAGAAGAGAAGTAGCTCCCATCAAAGATGCAGGATTGAGACAGATCATTTCTCCTTATACAGTCTCCTCCTTTAGTTTAATACAATTGGAAAGTCAGAGGGATAGGCTGTTCAGTTCTAGGCGTCATTCCGAGGCCCAGAACAGGTATGGAATGGTAGGGAAAGGATGGTGTGCTTGTCAGATGGACAGTCATTGGCATAGTCACCATTATGGACATATCATACGTTAATTCAGGAATCTTCCGAGTTGTTTATTTATATTGTTTCTGATAAAAAAAAAGTTTGTTTTAGAATTGCCATATCAATGTTACTGCCAACTCTACTGTAAAATATTTGTTTCCATTGAGGCTATTTATCGCTTGGTTTTCTATACAAATAATTTATAAACAAACTTAACTCAGCCTAACATGGAGCTAATAATTGGTGAGAATATTACTGATAATGTCATCATTGCCTTTGCCTTTGTGCAGTGCCTGTTCACTTTCAAAGTATCCTCCAGTCACAGTTCCATCTGAGCTTCACAGCACTTTGTGGAGGTGACTGACAGACTCGTTTTCCTCACCACATTCATTCCTTTTAAATAACTTCATATTGTTCTTCTTCGTCTGTGTCTGGTTCAGCTTTGTTTTGGGTTGCCTTTGACCTCTGCAATTCCAATTTTGCTTCAGATTTAATTAAATACTTTGTTTTAAGTTGGATTTGAGCTGGCTAAGATGTTTCCATCCTGTTTATGTTACCTGATTTCTATTTCAACCTTTTCCTGGAAAGGCAGGAAAATCTGGGACTAGGAAGTGTTTCTGTAATAGTTTCACAGTTAGGATTAAAATAATTAGGCTAAAAAAAGGTCTACGAAGATATAGCATGTACTCTTTACTGATGTGCCAGAACATGAGTAAATATGAGTGAACTAACCAAACTGTACCTGGGCCTTGGGAGACTTGAGTCTGAATGAGCTCATGTTAACATTGACTAGTCACGGTGGCTCTTCAGTCATGGCTTCCCAACTGTGGGCATGCCCTGAGCTTTCTCTTCCAAGTCTCCCCTAGGATATCTGGAATCCACAGGGTATGTCTCACCTTCTCAGGTATAAATCTGTGTATTTTCTATTCCATCCAATTTTTCCTGAGGAGCTTTCTTAAGAGATTCAAGCTTCATTCCGTGTGTGAATAGGCCTGTTGTTTGCTGTATTTCTCTAGCATTTTGCCCCTTCTAAATACATGACTGGGGCATACATTGACATGACAGCATTCATTAAATCTTTCTGCACCACAGCAACTCCAGAACACATAGAATAAAAATTGGAGGTATCGGTGGGATAACAGTTTGGGGAAAGGGGCCTAGAAAAAAAAAAAAAAATGCAAGGGGAGGGGCTTGAAGCCAAAAAAATTTAATCCTCAATTGTGCCAAAAGTCTGCCTTGGTAGTAGAAACCTGGGGAGCTGAAAGCTGGAGTATAAGCCAGTTCCTGTGCTACCATTCCCAGGTATGAGACTCCTGGTTTTCTCAAACAGTTTGTAATAGCCCATTCTCACTTTACTCATAAATCTTTTTGATGGAATATTCAGCATATTCTGGAGCCACATCCCTGCCATGCTGATTTTACCTTGAAATTGTAAGAATGTTTCTTTCTCTGACAGGTGCATGCCAGGGCCATGTTCAGGATAGTAGATGGGCATGCTCGTCTCAGGGAAGAGGCCAACAACCAAAGTCGAGAAGTATTTGTGTTACAGCAAGGGCCCTCTTCTCAGGGCTAAAAATGCAGTGCTGCCAGGTTGGGAGTGATGAGGGTATCTAGTTTTGCTTATTGATTTGCCGGATATCCCATGATGTTGAAGGCTGATTAGGAAGGGAAAAAATTGGAGATGTCATTTTGATTAATATTTGTGCTCCCACAGTGTGTTTGGCGCTGACAACTCTGGGCAGCTTTGCTGCCCTCATTGCTGTGAGACACAATAGGGATAATGTAATACTGATTTTTTCCCCCTAAAGTACACACCAGAAATAAATCTCAGCTTTGAGCTCATTATTCTTTTAAGAATTGAATTTAAAATATTTCTGAGGACTTTTCTGTTCACAGTAATGGATTTACATAACAGAAAACTTGTGTAATGAATTTCTTGTGTGTTGTTAATATAACTTACTATTGTTGAAGGTCTTGTGTTGTTAAACTTATGGCCTGTGTTTTGAAATATGCCACATTAAGTGACCAGAATTTTTTTGTGTGCAGCAGAAAGTTAACTCTTACTTGCTTGAAAATAAAGCTCTTCTTGATAAGATAGGCAGGCAAACTTTTTTTTTTTTTTTTTTTTTTTTTACAAAAAGATTAAATAATAAATACTCTCAGCTCTATGGGCTGCCTGATCCCCATTGCAGTTACTTAACTCTGCCCTTGTATCACAAAAGAAAATATAGACAGTATGTAAAGTGGTGGATGAGGCTGTGTTCCAATAAAACTTTATTTACAAATATAGACAACAGGCTGGATTTGACCTATAGTATAGTTTATACAGCTCTAAAAATGATGCTTTTTAAAGTTCTCCTTCTAAAGCAGATTATGTTTGCATCCTACCTCACTGACCCTCTGTGTTTATACCCATTTTGCTAATGAGAAAATGGAACATGGTGAGTTGTTTTGAGTCTGAAGGCCCCTAGACTGGTTATTGGGCAGCCACATATCTCTTTCTTTTTTTCTGGCATGTTTTCCACTGTATCATACAACAGCAGCACCCCCTGAAGATGGAGGTCAGCTTTTTGAGACTGTCAAGCAGGGAATTAGATAAGAAAAGCTCTGAGGAGAAAAGAAATGGCTGCCAGGAAACCTGCTACATGCTCTCCCAAAGGAAAGGGTCTCTGGCTATCTCTCAGAGCTTGACTCTCAATTTACACACAGTTCTAACAACTCTGGGCATCTGATTTCTCAGATGACAGATTAGAAGCAGCAAATTGCAAGTGGGAGGCTGTAAATGGCAGGCA